TTCACAAAGCAAATAATTCTTGCATGTCCTAACAGAGTGGGTGTATGCTAGAATTATTCTTCTTTACTTGTAGTTGCTATACACAAATCATTGTACCCTAAGATATATGCACTAAGTCCTTGGTTAGCTATAAATGTTGCTCTGTAGAGCAGGTAGAAGGCGCTTGGGAATGCAGTAAGGTTTGCAACATTTTCTCTGAATAATCCAACCAGAAATAGCATGTCAGGGTGAACAGAAATCCTGAGCAGATGGCTCCCATGTAATTTCAGCTAGGTAGAGCTGCATACAACTGTCTTATATCTACCTAGTCATTAAATGTTACTTTAGGTTTGTCTGATGGTTGGTATTTCCAAAGGCACTCACGAGTATTAAACATCTGAAATCTCACATCGCTTGAAAAAGTTAATTATCCAACTCACTTGTGCTTCCTTTCACAATGAGTTTGGGCTCAATACTACAGCAAAATACTATGAAAACCTGCGTTCTTGTTTTTCCCATGCAAGCTGAATACTCTGTGCTGTACCAACGTCCCTCCTTCAATACCAAGGGAGAACCACGTAAATTCTCTTTGTGTAAATTAAGAGAATTTATTGTTCAAACAGTAAGTTGTTTCCCAGTGCCCAGATAAATGCAAAATTCATTTTACACCTAATTCCTGATTATTTCACCTAAAAGAATGGTTTAAAGCCAGTAGATAATTTACATTCCATTCCAAAATTCATTATTCATAGTAAAACCTATGTAATCACTTAATATCTTTTCAGTAATGAAAATAATAAAAACATAGATGTTATGCATAATACACTCTAAGTTTAATTAAAACTGAAAGAAAAACAAAAAAATATCAGAAATACGTTATTGCTTTCAACTGACACAGCAGCCACTTGGTCCAGGTCTAGATTTTCTGTAATCAAGAAAAATCAGCTTTCATTTAAATCTTTGCAACTCCACTGAAGTTCAAAAAGGCTGAAGACAAGAGTCAAGTACAAAATACAAGTTGGAGGTCATGTACAGAGAAACTGAACTCCACCTTTCCTATCAGTATTATTTTTAAACTCATAATTACCATAACACTTTTTCCTTCATCACCCGGACTTTGATATCCTCAAGAATAAGATGATGAGATGGATAAGAGGTGATAACAAGTTATACTAAAGTAATCAAATTTTTGAAGATGATACCTCATAGGACCTCTTCAATTCTAGCAAGGATCTTCCAATTTCCTTTAGGAAAGGTTTCAATCTTAGAGGTGTTCATGCTCTGCCACTAATGAGTATAATTTGAGTCTTAATGTCAGCATTTTCTTACTATACCTATAGGGCATATTTGCATTATGCTTAGTGTGAGACATTTACATCATCTATATCTGAGTTAGAAAACAGAAACATTAATATATGTAGAATCATTTCTGGTATGTATTTGTTAGGCAAATAGACAGCATTGATGTAGAAACCAAATGAGCATCTATTCCTAAACAAAGATATATTGTGTACATGAAACGCCCCAGTGGATTGACATATGAGTCTCATGACCCATCAAAATTAAAATCTCAGACTACAAGAGTGGAGGTAGGAGAGGTGATCAAAATTCTCTAGTTGCTAGGCATTTTATGGAAAGAGGCCACATTCACTCATCTTATTAAAATTCATGAAAATTGAAAATATCCAAAAGCCCAGGAGGGGTGGGGTCAGAAAATCTATTTCACTGGGAAGCTTACTCTAAATTCACCTTGAAAGCACTTTCCCTATCACAGACTTCCCAACAGGCTTTTGATTTCTCTCCTACTTAAGAGGTAATTATAGAACTTCTTTTCCTCTCAGCCTAACGCATACAGAAGGGGTTCACTTCAGCCTTTTATGCAGATTGCAATGTTTTTTTCCTAACTAGATCTTTATTGCAGATTATTTCTCCTTTGCTCTCTCTCTCCAATTCATCTAATTAGCTTTATTTTTATGTCCTTCCCCCCCATATTTGTCCTCTGTGTCATTTGCTATCATAACTACTTTAGTATTAATATTGTTGAACTCTGCACTTCTCTGTTCCTCTTTTTCTTTGCTTTTGCCTTTAGTTTTAAATTTACAGTTGTCAGAAAACCATGACACTCAAGCACAGGAATGATGGAAGGGGGACAGTAAACAAAGGCTACGTAGCATATTTCTCATGTGGATAAATTTTTTAAAAGGTTCAAATCCAAAGGAAAAGAATAAATTCTTTTCAGAAGGATTTCCAAGGCCACCAGAATCACGTGAGATTTTTGAGATCACCACAGTCATTTCAGTCAGGAAGAATCTGACTGTGTGAGTTTAAACTGCAATGATGGATGCTTGGCTTATGTCATCTGATTTGTCCCTCACAGTTTTTACTGCTTTTAATTTCTTGTACAAATTGACACAAGAGGAAGATGAGATGGGAAATTCTGCACTATCCCGTTTGCACATCAAGGAAGCTTGCCTCTTTCTAACACTACTACTACAATAGTACAACAGAATTTCTCCATGCTCAGGCACCTCCCCTATCTTGGGAATTTATTAAGTTTAATATTTACTAATAACTAATAAACACAGTGTTTCCAATATTAAACCAAAGCTTAGGCATCATTTAACCACTGAAAAAATACTGTTTTAGGCAAGTTAGAAGTAGAGTCAAGACCCCTAGTCTGTTTTTTTGTTTGGGGTTTTTTGCTAATAGTTCACCTTTATCCTTAAAAAGAAAGCTGGTAAGAACTTTTTTTTTAAACTACTTTTCTAGTATTGGGTAAAAATTTCAGGACATGAACAACAGCATTACTGCCACAAACAGCTTGCTAGAGTATATCCCAAAGATTTAATATTCCAAATAGAAGTAGCAGACCTGCACGGTTCATCACACACTTTTGCATGTGATATCAATGGTCAATAACACACCAGCAGTTTGCCCCCTGAATACACCAAGAATATATAATTGCCAATAAAGAGGCAAAAAGGAAATATTCTTCCATGAAGAAACTGTCGTATATACAAATATTTTCATATGAAGTGATGATATAATAATAAAGACTTGCTATAAAGCTCTCACTCAGAGAGTTGGTCCACTTTGGAAACAAGCAATCACAGATGTGACTAAATCAACTGAACTACACGTCACTGAAAGATTTTGCCTTAAATGTATTAAGAACAGATTTTTTCCTCAGCCCAACTGTTCTGCTTTATATATCATTCACTCAATCAGCTGCATAGCCCTCTCTCATTCTTGGTAGTTTCAAAAGTAGTTGCTGAAGCTTTTATACATTTAAGATAATAGAAACATTAAATGTTGTAAGTATTTTTATATACCTAAGTGGCCTCAAAAGAGAAACTTTTTCTATTTATAAACCTTAAGAACAAGTTCTCCCCTACCCTGCTGAAAAACACTCATACCACCAAGTTCTATGGAATCTAAAGCAGCATCCAATGTTTTCTTTCAATGTTGTCTATCTCTCCAGCTTTAAATTCTCCCTCTTTCAGAATCCTATCTGGCACACGGAGGAGGTTTTTTCAATAAATCAATACTGTAATAAAAAAATGACTGCCCCTATGTACTCCACATATTAACTGAGTTTCTCTTATACAGATAAAATCATTCACCTTATGCTCTATATTTGACACTCATTTTTAATAACAGACCTTGATAAAAGAAGCACCTGGCAAAAAAGTGACTCTAAAATATCACAAAGTTAAATCTTGTCTGCTTTTACATAATGGCTAATCAACTTAATTTGATTTCAGAAAGAATGATAGCATTTTGCTGTTTTCAAAGTATATTTTTGAAAAAGAATATCATCTGAAAGAAATGCTATGAGGATAGGCATGTTAGGTAATAGCTATCATTTTTTTGTCAGCAAAATGGAAGGCTACCGTTTTCAGCAAGAATGAAATTAGCAGTTTATCCGTGAAAAATGTAAAAAACCAAAACCAAATTATATGCTTTTTCCTAAAATTATTATAGCATAAATATCCCTTGTCGTGGTTTAAACCCAGCCAGCAGCTAAGCACCACACAGCTGCTTGCTCGCTTCCCCACAGTGGGATGGGGAAAAGAACAGGAAGAGTAAAAGTGAGAAAACTCATAGGTTGAGATACAGACAGTTTCATAGGTAAAGCAAAAGCCACATGCACAAGCAAAGCAATAAAGGAATTCATTCACCACTTCCCACGGGCAGGCAGGTGTTCAGCCATCCCTAGGAAAGCAGGGCTCCATTACGTGTAACAGTGACTTGGGAACACAAATTTCATCCAAACCTCCCCCTTTCCTTCTTCCCCCAGTATTATATGCTGAGCATGATGCCATATGATATGCGATATCCCTGTGGTCAGTTGGGGTCAGCTGTCCTGGCTGTGTCCGCTCCCAATTTCTTGTGCTCCCCCAGCCTACTTGCTGGCAGAGAGGTGTGAGAAGCAGAAAAGGCCTTTAGGCTGTGTTAGAGCTGCTCAGCAGTAAGGAAAACATCCCTGAATTATCAACACTGTTCCCAGCATGAATCCAGAACATAGCCCCATACCAGCTACTGTGAAGAAAATTATCTCTATTCCAGCCCAAACCAGCACATTGATGTAGCACCTATATGGAAAAACAATACATACATGATAAAATTGCTCCCCAACACATGCACACACAAAGAAGAAATTGCCTTCCAAAATGTTATGTTTAACAGCAGGATTTTCAAAACCACTTCTGTGTCTCACTCTGTGAAGTTAGTAAAAAGAAAAGGCAGAGAAAGAAAAGACAAAGCATAAGAGACTCATTGAGGAATACCAACAACCAAAACATATCTGCCTGTTCTGCTAGACACCATCATGTCAAAATGGGCTTTGCTAATTTGGGGATAGCCTTCCTGACAGCAGCTGCAACACTATGTTCTGAACAAAGCTCTGTTTTGTCCTCATAAAAACAACACTGAAGAGTTGTATGAGGTCTAGAGTTTCTAACAACACAGTCAATCAACATCATTACGGTATATGCTTCCATTTTACACCAATTACTTACCCAGATATTTCCATCTTGGTGGTAGGGTTTCCAGTTTCTCCCTGTATCACTATAGAGCATCCGATATTGAGTGACCCAGTCAGAACTGCTGTACCTGCCTTGAGTTGCAATAGCACTGATCTGCTTCCGGTTCCCAAAATCCACCTGCAGCCATTGGTAATGATCACTGTCTGATGGAGACCAACCTCCCGCACCTGTTGGGTTGAAACAGAAGAGAGATTTAGATCTCAAACATTCACTTTGAAGTGAACTCATTGCGAAGATGCTGATTACTGGAAGGCAGCCCAGATGAGAGGAATATAATACCAAAAAAATTAGAACATATATAAAAGAAATGATTACCCATTTTTAAAAATATGCATAGCAATCATTAGCACAGGCTTTAAGTACATTAACTCTGTTGCCTTAATCATATTTTGATATAATTATAATGATTTAAGGGGATGCCTACAAAACAATCAATGCCTTTATAATGCCTTAATTACAGTTTATTAGGTTTTGCCAAATAATAATTGTTCAAGGGTTGACCAATTTGACATGCAGTCCTTTGTCAGAGTAAGTTGGCACAAATCAAAAAGAATTGCTGGATTTTGTATGCCTTTTCAATAACATTTCAATTTAAAGAGATAATATAGATAAAACGTAAGAAAATAAGAGCAAGCTTTATGCTTTCCTGTGTTTCACTATACTGCACAAACTGAAAGATCTACCAGAAAAATTGAGAAAGGAACAGGTTCTGCAGGGCTGGATAGAGTTTTGATCTGCTGGTTGTACAAGCTGTCACAGATTACACTGGCAGATGCCTTGTAGAAGTATTATTGCTCCTTATGGGTCTATAAATTAACTTGACAGTAATACTATTAACAATATTCTCAACCACTTGACTATATTAAACTGTTCTAAATAAAGAAGGCCAATGATGCAGAGATAAAAGTAGTATTGAGACATTAATGCAATTTCTTATTCTTCTGAAATAAAAATACTCAGGGGAAAACTGTAGTAGGATTCTTCAAAGAATAATAAAGTTTCTAAGAGAGATATTATAATGATATATTTACCATAATGATAAGTATTAGGAAACACATGAAATAATAAACAATTCATCTATCAATACGGAGAAAAAGTGGAATATCATTCTCTTTATGACCATACAGACATAAATACACAGAAAACAAAAAATTTACAGACTTGATGTGATTTACAGGGTCTTTTTTTTGCTTTTGACTTTCAACCAAATAAATGTCCTGGCACAACATCAAATCATGTTGCCTAGTCCATGGGCCAATTTTTGTTGCTTTTAATTTCACTTGTAGGCTTCAATTGATGTCACAAATCTAGCCTGCTTGCCAAGCAAGAAACTGCTATACTGCATCTTGTATACTCCCATCATTAGGCGGCAGCATTGCTTCAGTCTTAGGCAACTCTAAAAATTATTCAGCTGCTACAGGTGTTAATGTTTGCAGGTCATGGGACATTTTAATGTTGTGATATCAACAGAATGATCTGATGTCATAAGAGGTTGACTTTCACTGTAATTAAAAGAGCAGCACTACACCATTGACAACAATTTTGTTAATTTTTTTTAAGATTTACAACAGATGTTTTCTCCCTGCACTACCCAGCAAAGTAAACAGGATATTTCAGCTGCAGGGAATCATTAAACGCTTTTTAAAACAAACAAACAAAATCACACAAACACCCTTAGTGAAAAGCACTTGCAGGAAAAAGTACTCCCTCACATTCCCAAATTCAAACTAGCTCTATTTTTGCAGAGAATGGTAATTTAATTTAAAAGAGAAAATAGCTTCTTTATAATTGCTATACATGGATACTGGAGCAGTTAGCTCTACATTCTTGTTGTTATAGTAGAGATGATGTTTTCTCTCCCTATCCTAACATCCCCATCCAACTGACACAACTGAGGCTGAGAGGACACAAAGGATAAGAAGCTCTGCCTGTACAGAAGCTATCTTTGTAAAAACTACTTTGGTGGCTACAGAAAAAAATTAGGTTCAAATGTGAGCATTTTTAAAAATTATCATGAAAGACAAAGCTAATAAATCACTCAATAAAATTTCCTTCAGCTATGCAATTGTCGAAATAGGATGACCTACTATAGTTTTAAGAAGGCTCAAATAGATGCTACATTTTTTATACTTTTTATTTATGCAGGAGATTTACATTAAACCAAAAGATTGTGTTAAGCATATTTAAAAGAAAAGACATTTAAGTATAATAGCTTATAATTACTTCATTTAATATATTCATATTACTGAGACAAGACTGGCCTTCTGTAATTGATAAACATATTCATTGTAAATTACAACTACGTTTCAAAGAGTCTTCCTCCCTACAAATTCATTGAAAAGTTTGGAAAAAATTAGTGCTAACGTTCCTTTTCTCAGGTTGCTGGTTCTTTTGGGGTGGGTGTTGTTTGTTTCTTATGTCAGAGGAGGCAGAAAGCATTTTTCACATAATGCTTAACAAAAGTTAGAGATAAATGATACAACAGTCACATCTAGGCCAGGAGATGGAAATACTAGTATTGCAAGACAGTCTGCCCTATAACCATTTCTAATAAGTGAGAAACAAGACTTTTAGTCAATATTGCAAAGAGCAACAAACAATATTATCTCATATCTCAGTTTCATATTTGCCTTCTGGCTTTTCCATGTAAGTAAATAAACAAATAGTCAAAAGGATAAAGGAGAAACTTGCTGAAATACAGCTAAATGTGCTGCTTAGCAGACCAGCATGTTAAGGGAACGATGATCACTCTAAATGGGAGGGCAGACCTCAGCCATTCACCACAAGCAACCTGTGAGTATCAATTAGAAGTGTCCTCTTCCCCTTTTATTCATTAAGCTGTGCTATTTCAGGAAGGTGACTACTTTGTTCATTTTGTTGGGGATACACCTAACCTCTATAGGTTCAGGGATCCTTTTTTTTTTTTTTTCAGGTGCACGCTCTAAATAAATGATGAAAATATTGAATTGTATACAAATTTCCCCACTGTGAAATCTTGCAAACACGCTGAATTCATCGGAAGAATTTAAGTACATTTGTGCCTCCAGCTGCTCTAAGAAGGTACAAAAATCTCACATTCCCAGAAATGTGCACATACTCACAGCTCTGCATATCATTTAATATTTTGTTGAATAAAACCCAGCTTCTTCACTGGGATGCAGAAGTTAGTTTGATACTGGACAGGGAAAAGAGGATTTACTGACAAATAATATATTTAACATATTTTTCCTTTTTAAAGGAGTGATGAATTTGGAAATCAAACTTGATTTCCACAATACGGAATTATTTTTGAAAAACACTTAATTTTATGGCCAATACATTATGACAGAATAATGAATTATGCTTAAGGAAGCAACCAAGTGACAGCACACTAGTAGTTTTCAATGGGCTTGATGTTGTACTGAAACTGCAGTGGCGTATTAAAATTGTTGAATAATTGCTATTCAGTATTATTATTCACACCTTGGTGTAAAGAGTTCATTTTTAATGGTTACAGGCTATATTCTGAATTTTATTACATTCATTATTTGTACTTTTTATTATGGAAGAAAAAGGTATTTGATACAAGTTTTTTCATATGATGCTCCTTTTATTTCATGTACTGCCTTTTAATGACAAATGCTACAGTATACTATAAAACCATTGTGAGCTACAAATTAGAAATAGATTATACCTAAAAAATGTTTTAAAGATATTAAACAGATTATATAATACAGTTTACTTTCCTTAAAAAGATAAGGAGCGTTTATGGAGGTTTTTGGTAGTAAAGGTGCAATAAAATCAATTGCAGACAATATCTACTTCCTATTTTTATGCTATTCCAGAATTTGATACGAATAAACATACTCACCCACTCAGCAGCCAAAATAATTGATTCAATGAGATTAACCAAGAGAGCTACTGGATACTCTTATTTATATTATATAGCACTCTACACTACAAACGAGGCAACTCATTCCAACTTGAGCAAGACTGACTGTACATGAACCTTTGTTAATAGAGAACGACAAGTTCAGCAACAGTAAAGTCAACACTGAGCATGCGGCCCACATATTTCCAAGCATCCAAGAAAGTTTCCTGTGCATAAAAACCTACAAATCTTAATCAGCAAAGCCAGACAGAGCATGCCTGTGGTAAAAGGTGGCTATGAAAGATTTCATAAAGCTTTATTTTCAAAATAAGCTACAGAAAATCATATGATCTGCTCTTACTGCAGACTGACCAAACTACTGGAAAACACATTCAGTATGATTTCTTATTCAGAAGACATAAAACTATATTCAAAATGCTAAGAACTTGTAAAAGTTTTTTTTTTATTATTTTTTTACCAAATAAAGACAGTTGCTAACAAACAGTATCAGTTTCATTACAAGAGTTGAAGTTTAAAGATTTATTTTTTTTTTAACTATGAAAACTCCAATGCATTTCATGTTTTTATTGAATTTAATTCTACAGGTTCATTCTCTGGAACAAAAAACAGTATAAAACCATAGTCTACCTCTGAATGACACATGTAAAATATAGCACTTAACATATTTCTAGTATAAAGAATTCAAGTCAATGTTGGCCTATTTTTCCAAACTTTCATATATCATTTTTATTAAATTTTTTATTAATTACATATTTCAGCTACCTATTCAAAGTTGAGTAAGCTACCTCCCATTTACTGTACATGAAGACAGTCTATGCGATGATTTAGCCTTACTTTTTTATCATTCCCCCTGATGAATTGTCCATAAGTAGCAAAGCTGGGGTAGGCATACAGATTTTAGATTTTTATCTGAACTCACTTAGGCTACTGAATTTACAGGACTACAAGAAGGGAGACACTGATATTTTTTTAAAATTTCTTTTCCATTTCAGTTAGAAATCTTTCTTTCAAAAATTTGGCACTTTAATCTTCATTCGTGACTGAAACTGGAAATATTAATTTCCATTAGAAGAATCCACTCTTGTTTTAGTCATACTTGTCCATCATTCCCTCCTTCAAATCACAAAATTAAAAATACCAGTACTGCAGTAAGCCTAGTGTTCAACTCTTTCAAATGAGTAATAAAAAGGTTTCAATGATGTGATTTAAAGAAGGAAAGGATTCTTACTCAGTAATTTATTAGAAAACAAACTATGAACAACTATAGATATAAGATGCAGGTTTTGTGGTAGTTAA